CCAAAAAGTTAACTGCTTACTGCAGCAGAAAACACATCAGGCTCTTTCTCCTTCTGTGGCTACACAAGCAACATTACAAACTATCCTCTCCATTCATCTCTCCATTAAATATTGCTATTATACAGTGGTGAGGCTATTTCTTATAAGTAATGAATAAAAGTGTTTGTAAATAACATTTCCCTTTCCCTTTCTTTCCTATGCATTCTCCAAGGACCAAACTCAGCAGTGGGTGAAAGGACTTCCAAATACAAATATTTCAAATTAATTTAAACTCTTCCTCTAAGTATGCAGCAAGTCTGTTTTTCTCCCTAGTGATTTATTAATTTTAAATATCTCTGTATATACTTGTTTCCTTCTAATTTTAAAATATTCTCAGAAGCTGTGCCAGAAATTTGCAGCACAAATAGAATGTGTTAGAGGGGAACTGTACTGTTAACTGTAAAACATCACAGGTCATCTACATATGTTAAACAAATAAATTTCAGATGCTCAGTATGTGTCAAGCAAAAGCCAGAGCTTAATCACTTAATGGCATGTCTATGTAGACATAAGCAAAGGTCTAGCTGATCCTGCTTTAGGGTATTATGACTGACTCTCTGAGCCAAAATTTTTTAAATGCTATTTTCTAAGCTTTCCTTTCAGAGCAAGGATTAAGTTTTTAAAGCTAAAATAGCTGTTCAAAAGTCACAGTCACTGTAGTACTACCAACTCATCAATGTCATAAATTTCTGTTACTTTGTATCTATTTATCTTGTCAATATTACATTAAACAATATAGATGGATTGTGCCTATTTTTCAAATACAGCTTCAGATCTCAAGTTCAATAGTTTATTTTTGCTCCAGAAACCAAGAAAAAATGCACCCTTGAAAAATGAAAGTCTTGTTTCATAAGACAGGGAGATACTGAAACCTAATCTTTCACAGATTTGCATCTGTTTTTCTCTAAGCCATCTTCTTATATCCCGTGTGACAGACTTACAGAACAAAAGATAACACATCTGGAACTAAACATATGATGATTGACTATGGAATAATCATCCAGTTTTACATTAAGTTAAGAGAGGTTCCTTGCTTTGGAGGGGGGAGGAGCACCTTCAATTTAAATGTGTTGAAATTATGTTTATTTATAATTGAATATTTATTACATTTTCTAGATCTCAATAGACTTTTCAAGTGGATTGGAGATGGACTTTTTTTCCCAATCATAATATTTTTGACGTTAAGATTTTCAGAGAAGGATGATACTGTATGCATTTAAACAGCCTTCAAGGCTCAGGCAATTCAAATGAGGAAAATTTAAAATGTCTCATCAAGTCACTTTGCCAATTCTTCATTGAAAGAAGGTGATAAAAATCCTGACTCATGTGCCTTTCATTTTTAAGGCAGTTCTTAAAAATATGATGGTCTTTATTGTCATCACATAATATTTCTAGGTTTAGTTATTTGATTTGTTTCTTATTGGGTAAAAGTGCTGTATTTTTATATTTATTTACAATTCGGATAATCTTATTATACTGGGGGTGGTGGCTTGGTTTTTTCCTCTTTTTGCAGATTCAGCACCTGGAGGTTTCTCTAGGGCTTTTGCAGAAGATGTTTTGTGGGGTAGGGGAGGGTTGCCATTGTAGGCTTTTCCATGTGGTTGGGTTTTGGGTTTGCTTTTTGTTTGTTTGTTAGTTTTCTATAAATACTGGAATTTTTTTTCATACTTTCATCCCTGAAAAACCTTTTGCTCTGATTTTAATTTGCTCTTTTGGAGAGAAGCAGATTCGCATGAACACAATTTACATAAATGAAAAGTTAAATGCCGGTTTATGCTATGATGCAAATCCATAATTTTTTTATGAGAAAGATCCCAGACAGTTCTCTTACTAGTCGAAATAAGAGGGACAGTTTTATTAGGGTGACTCTTATTCACATTGATTGCCAAAAAATGTGTAATGCCTGTAGATTTTTCATGTACAAAGGTTGCAGTTTAGGAAATACTGCTGCTGAAATAAACTGTTCCCAGATGCAAGAAAGGCGAGAAAATTTTATTTCCTATAGGTCATGTTACAGTGGTCAGTAAATGTTGATACCCTTATCTCTAATGACTGTTTCAACAAGAATTAAAGGGGTTTTGTTGGGCCAGTTCTGACAGTTGATACATCCTTGAAAATATCCCCTTAAATCAGTCCAGAAAACCCAATCACCCCGAAGGATAAAGTTGCATAATGGAGGGTTCTCTTTCACTAGTGTGCTTCATCCTTTGTTCTGTCTTTTCTTCTTCATCAGGAATAGAGCTAAAACTCAAGCATGTGTTCAGTCTTACATTTCTGAAAGACATGGGGCCCCAAAAGAGTGCCTTGTCTAAAAATTTGGATGTTTTTCTCTCTTTTCTGTTCATCTTATGTATGCACACCAACCAATGTGAGACATCCAAGCATGAAATGATCTACAGCTCTAAATTGTAATATTTAATACACTGGCTTGGGTGGGAGTGGGAACCTTGCTTCCAAATGAACAAATAGTGTGTTCCTTTTACATTCTGTGGTATGTCGTAAAATGTTGCAATAATCCTAGGAGCCAAGATCTGAGCTGCACAATTTGTGTTCACATGCAGCATACAGGTACCAAGTTTAACTCTTTTGTGAGTGGATTAGAACTAGGATTAAGACTTGATCAATTCAAACACATACTCCTAATTTTCAGTGCAGCAAAAAACCCAAAAAAACTACCAAGGAAAAAAAAACAAACCTAGGAATACTAATTTATGTTCTATTCTTCTAAGAACCATACAAATGCTGAGGTTCCAGAAGGTTAGCAGACTACTCCAATTCTCTCTGCCCTTTCAGTCACAAGTTCTATCCAAAAATTACTCTTTTGGGAAAGGAGAAGAAAGTAGAGCCATTAGATAGTAAAAACAAGGTGTTCAGATATTTAGGGAGGTCTGCTCAGGCCTCACTCAGGCCAACTCTCTGTCTGCTGCAAACATCTTCTACAGAAGGTATTGTAAGAGCTGAAGAGGAAAGTGTGAGCTGCAATATAAAGATATTTTTGCTCCTTCATAAGGATATAACTCCAGCTCCACACTTTTGTTCCATGTTGCAGAGAAAGAAACATTCTCATTTTGATGAGTGACAACAGAACTGCATATGCACATTTTTATATGGCATCTATATCTGATAAAGGTTGCCCATTAGCACATTATGTCACTAAATTTTCTTCAGTATCTCTAATTTATCCTCAAAATATTATATAGCTCAGTTGCCTTAAGTTTGATAATATATATTTCTTGGTGAGCTAGGGTGGGTTAGAAAAGATGCTGGCAAACCCTACTTGTGACCTAAACTGACACTCACAGCAGGAAATATTTGGGGTAGAATAACTGTCTCTGTGGGACACACGGTCCACACGGGGCACAAACAACAGTGCTGAATCACACTGAAGTAGATTAATGAAACTGGAGGAAGAATCAGGAAATCTAAATATTTTTCCCCCCCTTCTGAGATTCCTTGTAAAAATCCTGTAACAGAAACTTCTGACCTGGCAGGGTAGAGCAGGGAGTTTAGAATAGCTCTTTTTGAAACAAGAAGTACTTTAATTTCGTAAGTGGCATCACTATGATATTCATTGTTGAGGATGAAAGCAGTGTCAGCATTTCTACATTGCAGTAACCCTGACCATAACTTTGTTAGGATAAGAGGCTGTAAGACTGCTTGCAATGGCAATCATGCAGAGAGACTCTGCAGGAAAACTTCTGGACTTAGTCCAGTCATTACACATTTGGAAAGAGCTTCACACAAAGGTATTTTGTGCATGAATAGTCCAGAGGAATAGGTTTCTGGACCAACTGGTGTGTAGCTAATTTTGAAAAGTCAGTTTACCATAACAATTATTTTATGGGCTGTAGAGCAGATCTCATTAAAGTAGGTAGAGAATAATAAATTAAACAAGAACCAAACATTAATACGTCTAATGCTTCCTCTACTTAATAGGAGCATTACAAATGGTAATGAGAACACTGTTCATCTTTGTGGGGGATGGTGGTAAATATGGTAGAAATAAACAAGTGTTATATTCTCAAACACAATTTTCTGATGTCATTTCTTTTGTCTTTTTTTAAAGCATACTATGTAGCAGCTGTTTTGTATTCAGACACCCTTACATTACTATTCTGACTATTTTTTCAGGTCCTTTTCTAATTATATTATTTTCTCCTTTTAAAAAAATCCTATGTGCAAGTTAACTATAGTTTTGTCTCTTCTTGAGTTTGGAACATTTCATTCTTATATTATCTTTTTTCTCATCTACCTTGAGCAGTGATTTTGTTGGGTTTTTTTTCCTTTTCCTGTAGGTCTCGAAATACTTGGGCTCATCTATTTGTGTATAACACATACACATGCCTGTGTGTTGGTACACTCCCACACTGTTTAAGCCAAATGGATGAAAATGCAATAATTCCCAAAAATTACATATAGGGTTGTTTTTTTTTTTTTTTTTTTCTGTGAATCTGGATACACACTTCTCTCCAGTGAGCCTCATAAAGTTGATCCAGTGTTCATACATACTGTAATTATAGGTAAAAATTTAGGATTCACTCTAATACTGTAAATAATGTATGGAATGTAATAATAATTTAAATTGCTGTATGTAAGACTGAAGATCATGTGTATCTATTTCCATGTGGTAAATAACTGAATAATTAGGCATTATTCTTACATCCTTATTTCCCTACATAATTTAATTCTATAGATGTTTCTACATTCACAATGCTGATTATTTAAAATACTAAAAGTTTACCTTTTTTGCCCTTTGGTTTTATTTGCTAAATTAATTCAATTAATTCACTTTTACTTTAAAAAAATGTTAATTTTCTATATCAGTTGTATATAAAAGCAAAAGATCTTTTTACGTTGCTTTGTTATTCAAGTTTTATTCTTCCAATTTCCACAGTAAGTATCAAAGAACAACAGTAGCAGTCAGCAGGAGTTTTCCCATTGACTTCATTGAAATCATACTTAGATCTGAGCTGAGTATGTTTGAAAATCTCAGAAACTATTAAATAATTTGGAAAAACACCACAGGGATGCTTAGAATTCAACATTTTCCATCAAAAGGGAGGAAACTCTCCTGGACTCTTTTTTAAATAATGGTAATAATACGTATTTCTTTCATACTGCTTTTATCCGTCAATCTTGGATTTCACTGTAAAGGAGATTGATTACATCTCATTTTAAGGAGAGAGAAATGGAGGTGTAGTGAGGGGTGTCTTGTTCACCTCAGCATTTGTGCAGGCGTTCAATGCTCACTGAAGGCCCAACATGATTTAAGAGACTTGTGGCTAAACAAAACAAAAAACTGTTTGAGGAAATAATGATGACATGAATCACGAAACATACTTAAAATATGGAAATGGTATCATGGGTTTGTGTAAGTGAAGTGGGTGCTGCAATCATGATAAAACCAATTCCAGTGCCATGCCTTGGAGGTCAGGCTCAGCAGTAAAGGTTCCTCCAGCTGCACAGGCTGCTGAGTGAATGAGGTGAACACTTCTGTCTCCTCAAAGACTGGTGATAAAAACATCAAAAGTTCTTAAGAAGTCTAGTTTTAAGAAGTTTTTCTAGTTTTCACTTGGGTTCATATGTGTTTCATGCATTCTGAGTTTGTTCATGCTAAAGTAGAAAAGTTCAAAAGCCAAAAGTACACTGTTTAAGTTCAAATGAAACAGCATCATAGTTTTCATAGTTAGTTTAAGAGCAGTGCCAGATTACTACTTTGCACTGACCCTGAACACCTGAAATAAAGACGAGACCTGAGTGCCAAGCACCCACATTTAGATTTCTGTTTATCTGTGGTCTGCAGACTTAGTGTTGAAATTTTCATTATTGCCAGTGTAATCCAGAAAGAAATTCAACTTGGGGCTTAATTCAATTGCCTAATTATAGACCTTGAACACTAATTTGAAACCTACAGAGATAATCAGCAAGGTTTGCATATGTGACACAAGTCTTATAGGAATCTCACTTCACCCTGAAATATCAGACAGATGCTAGCAAAAGTATTCTTACAACTCAAGTGGCAGTGGATAGAAATACATGGATAGCTGAACCGAGCAGATTATTGACCATAATATTAGTTTATAATTTCAATATATAGACAGATAGACACCCTCATTAAAGTATCTTAATTAAAAATGGAATTTTGTCTTCCATAGTGGGTACTTCGTATGAGTTTGCAGAAACCAGGTTGACTGACAAGCTCAAGATGTATTCCAGAAGGGTTTTTTTTTTGTATTTTAAGAAAGAAAATTAAGAATAAATCCACACTTCTGGTCTAACCAGTTCACCTGAAAAGAACTTAAACTAGAACTCACTATATAGCAATAGAGTCAATGAGCTAATCAGCTCGGTTCAGTTCATGAGATCAGCAACTACTGCCATTCTACTTGTCCTATGCAGCCTGCCTTGACTTCCAACACGTTTCCCAGAGAGTAAGATACCCCTATAAATGCTATTTTTCACTCTTGTGGGGATATGTCAGGTAACCAAGATTATTAAAAAAAGTTACTTGTCTTCTGTGTTTATGCTAATGAATTAAGTGCTTAATATTCTAGCTGTGAGGGGAAATAATAAATACTGAAGTCTGAGTTTCTTGAGAAATGATGTTAGAAATAGCAGAAAATAAAAAATAACATGTAACAATAAGCATAAGCATACTCTTATCTAAACCTTTGTTAGAAAGTGCTAGAAAAATTATTAAAAACAAATAATGCACAGAAGTTGAAGATATTAACCAGGAAAAATGCATCTGACTAAAGGACAAAATAAAAACTTCAAGATGTCAACTACCTCCTGATCAGTAAACATGATCTATTTATTGCTTGTAGCACATATGATGCAACATTTTAAAGAAAATAAAGGCAAAAATATCCATAAATGAACCCTTGGAATAAGAAGAATGCTTTGATGTAGAATTATTTTAATTGTTTTGTATTTCTGTGCCATAGACACCCAAGTAAGCAGCTTCGATCATAATTTATTGTTGAGGCAGAGTAAGTAAAACAGTCTCTTTTAGACATCTGTATTAAGATGAGATGAATCTTGTTTTAGGACTGTTTCTCTCCGCTGGGTAAGCTGACAACTTTCTTCTTCTAACTTTCATAAGAAAAAGCAGGTCTCAGACAATGCTGTCATTTGTTATCCTTCATCCAGTAGGGTTGTTATTTGTACAGTCCTGTTGAAATTCTTTCTGCTTCATCTATTTCGTATGTAGGAGAGAATCACTGAAAAACTTGACATTTCAAGTTTAAATTGGCATGAGCATTCCTGAGCATTTCAGACACATATCTTTATCCTCTTAGATGTGGCTGCATCAATAAACATGTATGTAAGAATCTGAATGAATGTCAGTTGAATGAACATCAAACTGAGCAAAGTATAAATAATAACAACAGAAGAAGAGGATATTCATTACGGCTTGTAGTAAAGAAAAGCTGCTGACTGGTGAAGTCAAATTTAGGGAAAAGTGAAGTCTATCTCATATACTTGCAATTTTTCTCTATTATCATCTTTGACTATTGTAAAAAAATTAATTGTAATTACTTAATATAAACAGACACAACATTTCTCTCCAATAAAACATGTATTTGGCATTGTACAAAAAAGCAGAGACTGGGAAAAGTTGTATTTGTATCTTCATGGAGCATCTGGACACTACAGTGATTAGATATTAAGCCTGCTTAGCTGATAGATGGTAGGGAGGAATGTAAATTGGTGCTTTAGTGTCAGCTCAAAGGGGTCAAAAAGGGGAGGACTGGATGCTGTTCCCAACTGCCTCACTGGCAATGTATGCTATATGCAGAGTATAGTTTGATTAAGATAAGTAGGCTCTTGAGAATTTGGCTCATAGATGCATTATCCTTAAAAATGTACTCAGATACTGACCTAACATGTAAATACTCTGAGAGCCAAAAAAAAAAAAAAAAAAAAAGATTATAAAAGTTATAGCTGTCACAGGATTTTGTTTGTTTGGGGTTTTTCATTTGCTTGTTTGATACGATTTTGTTCTGTTTTGCTCTGGGATTTTTTGGTTCTTTATTTTATTTTGTTTTGTTTTGTTGGGGTTTTTTTTGGTTTGGGATTTTTTTCCTTTTTTTTTTTGTTTTTGTTTGTTTGCTTTCTTGTTTTACTAGAGAACTGATGGTCAAAAGAAGAAACTTTAAAGAAGAAAAGGTTACACGGTCTAAAACCTAATTGAAAAACTGTGATTTCTGATGATGGATAAAACAAAATCAATAATAAGGTACTAATTGTCTTTACCTTGGTTTGGGTAATTAGACAAGATTTCTGGAAAGGAAAATTAATTTGAACTGAAGTTAATAAAATCATGTGTGTAGCTCAAAAATCTGTAAGTGAAAAAGAAAGAAATAAAAAAAATGCAATGTCAATTGTCTCTTTGTTCTTCCAATCACATTTTGCAAAAATAGTCATTGAGTGACATTATTTAATTATTTTTCAAATGTATCTGTCATGTTCTGCTGGAGGAATAATTTATTGGGTTGTAAAAGAAAAAATATGAGCTTAGTTACACAGATAAAGTCAGAATATTAAATTTGCCTAATAAAGTTACATAATCATACGTAGCCATAGCCAATATTGTTGTCGTGCTGGATGCACAAAGTATAATTGTCATTTCAAAATTACAGTTTTTTCCTTCAGCCTTAAGAAAATTTAGTCTGAGTAAATTTTAACACATGTTCAATGTCAAAAAGTGTCCAAATATTATCATATATTCTTTTGTATAAAGAAAAGAAAATCTTATAATCCATATGATAAAGGATGAACTGGTTACAGATTTTACTGTGACGAGCCTCTTGAGGATTCATTTATTTAAACTGCAAGAAGCAAGTGAAGCTGAACTTCCTTCCTCTATGTTGATTGTGTTTGCTGACCTCTGCTAGGGCCAGCAGTACTGCTGTGAGATGCTGTCACTTCCTTCACAGTTGTAGCTTGGCACTGAGGCTATTGTCCCTTCAGCAGAGATCCCTTGATTTGGTGCAAGATCAGAAGGCATCGCCTGTGCCTGGCATATTTATAAACTAACATATGTCGCTGCGATTCTGAATCTTTGCTGTCCAAGGCAATAAAATGAAAAATAACAGAGCTTATACATTCCTACATATATGTGGGGTTTTTTTCTGTCAATAGCCTACTATTTTAAGTTTATTGCTTGATTCATTCATATCCCTTTTTTGAAAATTTTGTTCAAGCTTGATTTAAATATTGCATTTAAATACTGCAATATGTGGAATGAAGAAAGTATTTTTGCTAGTCCTAATCACTTAATATGTAATAAAATTAACAATTCCTTTAGAAAAGTGATGTTTTGATGCACTGCAGTTTGCCTAGCTTACATTCAAGAATTTTTCTTTTGTTGCAAGAGAAACTAATGGTAAGGATCCAAGTATAATTCTGCTGTTGGCCAGGTTCCTTGAAATGTGTCTGCATGTTATTTATAGCTATCTGTTTTAGGTAGTGATTATCAAGATAAAAAGTGTACTTGTTTCTAATCTCAGGTATTTTTTTTTCCTTTAGTATTGATCTGAAAGCACAATTCAAAATAAGAATTGAGGTGGTTACACTGTGAAATGTTTGAATAACTTTGCAAGAATTTGATGTGTTCTCAATGCTATGAATACTTCTCAGAAAGAGTATTATTTAAACTATTCAACTATTCTCAATTAAATAAATTCCTATGTAAAGAAATAAAATTATGTTTCATGTGGATATTTTGTAGGCCTCATCAAGGTTAAGTCTTTAGAGTACGTAACATATCCATATTGAATTTATCAGAAAAAAAAAAAAGTAGACATGATGAGCATAAGAAAACACACGAGAAAGGAAGACCTGATTTGAATGACCCAGACTCAAAGTTTTTCATTTGATATTTCAGGATTATAAAACAGTCTTAAATGGAATAACTTTTTTTGCCACTACAGAAACATTAAAACGTTTCATTAGCTAAGTCTGGAAAATTCCCTGAGAGAATATTGACAGTCAAGAGCCTTTTTTATGTGGAAGCAGAAAAGGCTTTTACACTTCAAGAAGTTGCCATTGCTTTCTCGGGGTCCAGTTATGATTTCAGATTTTGATCAGAGGAGTTTACACTTCAAGAGGACACATTGCTGCAAGAATCCTCTGGAGGGGGGAAGTGGGGAACCCAAACCAAGACAAAACAACCTCAGATATTATACATTTTCATAGTTTAAATTCACATTAGAAAAACATGATGCTGACTTTATATCCAACAAAAATTCAGTGATTTTTTGGACTCGTAGCTGACTGAATTGAAGCCTCATTTTGTTTCAAATTAATGTATAATCAGACTTTCCTCATTCATTAAGACAATCCTTGACTTAGTAGTCACACTTAGTAGTCAGCATCTGGAGGACATTGTTGATTTATAGTTGAGTCTTGTCTATTATTTAACTGACAATGTTCAAGTCACTTGTGAATTTTCAGGGGTCACTTGAACACAGTGGGCTATATCAAAACCACTCTCACGCTTATTTTTTAGGCTCTTATTTTAGTAATTCATACATTCACATTCATACATACAGAACATAATTATATATACATATACATACACATATACATATTTAATTAATATATTCATTTTAGTATTCATATATTCCTCAAAGTACATATAATAGAATCTTTAAAAAATAAATCATAAATAGCACAGCAAAAAAACAGCCATAATACGTGAAGACAAATATGGCATGGAAAATCAGTGTAAAAAATACGTTTGATACTACTGAATGGGATGCTTGAAGAGCTGCATTTAAATTATATTTCCTGTCTCAGTCTTGTTTGAATATACAACAACTTCCTGGGAATAAATCTGATGTCTACTGTGATTCTAGATGCTCAAAATAATGAAAATCAAACCAAAATTTGACTGTTAAAATATTTACCACTTTTTTTTTTTTTTTTTAATACCATATTAATTTTAGTTTAGACTAGTTCTATCATTGCAGTTTGCTAAGACACTAAATACATGAGAAAGAAAAGTGTACACTTTGGACTTTTACTTGTCCATCACACTTCATAATCCAATTTTCAAAGTGTACCAACAAATTAGACAGTTACAATTAAATCCTGAACTAACATTTAGTAAGATTACAGTATTCACAATTGTCTTTCAGTTTCTTTTTGTTGCGCCTCATTATACGTTTGCCCCAAGAAATTAAACTATACCTCTTACTACTCCCATATCTTTCATAATATGAAATACCATCCCCTAAATTCTAAATAGGATAGGTATTAATTGAATTAGCAATAGCCATTTTCACCTGTGGAAGTCAGTAAACTGTAAAATTGCAAGATTACAGCTTCCACAGTATTTTTCTTCTCTTGTGTCAGAAATTGCAAGAAATTGCAATTGTTTGGTAGATGCATGTTCATGATGGAAGTAAGAAGGTAAGGAACAAAATATCACTGTACTTTTCTCTTATGAGCACTTTCCTGATCAAAAGTTTGCTAATGTGTCCAGAAAAAAAAAAAAAAAAGGATATGTCTATATGCTTTCAACTTTACAGCAAATCTCATGAGTTGCCTTAAATATTATAGTAACCAGTCAGGTAACCACCTACCCATTTTCACTTCTGCTTTGTAAAAGGAAATCTTATTAAAAGCATGTACTCTACTTTAAATTATAGAATTGTTTTCCCCACAAAATTATTTCTTCTAAATCCAAATTGCCAAAGACTGCTCTATGAACCTCTTCCCAATGTCTGACATTTTTTGTTTTTGTTTTAGCTTCTCATTTATAAATTGAAAAGGATGCGGAAAAATGCATTCCTATTTAAATGAATCTACTTGTACATAATAAAACAAATGCTGCAATGTGATCCCTTTCAGGCAAACAGCTCAGGAAAGCAACTGAAAGCTTTTTCTTACTTCACTGCTATGCTTTATTGCTGAAGTAAAACACTTCAGGGAGGTATTAAATATGCATGCTATTCTTTTTTCTAATTTTAGTGTGAGAATTACTTTCAGAACTGTGTTTATACAGTATGCAGAATATAGCGGATCTGTGGCAGAGTTAAGAAACCCATGAGGAGGTATCAAACTTTATGCATCCTACTTCAAATTAAATCTCTGCATCAGCAGGGTATTTTCATCTTATCTTTAATAGAGGCAAGGAGATGTGTTGAGAAATGTGCTAGGTGCCTTGTGGTTCACTGTCATTTTTATCCTTCCCTCCCTAAAACTAAAGAGATCCATTAAAACTATTCATGATAAGCTCTAAAATGTTATTTGCTATCATTCGTTTTTTACAATTCTGTGAGATATTTTGCTTTTTCTATGAATTTTAAGTTGGAATAATTATAAGTATGCGCATCAACTAAAAATATTATGCCTTACAAAATCACCTTTTTGAGTATTTAAGCTTTTATTTTGGAACTAAAATCTTCAATCTGAAGTCAATTTATATTTCTGTAGGACTTGGTATTTATAATTTACAACAGTAGTCCAAATTCCTTTTCTAAATGATGTATTGACTATTTATTTATTATTTTAATTTAGAAGATAAAAGTAATATAATATTTAAAAAAAATAATCTGAAAATGAGAACAATTACTTAATTCAGGCAAGTATATAAGTACCTGCTTCAAACTGATTACTTAATTTGAGTGCCATCAAAGTCAATGGGCGTTAAGGACCTCCTTAAAGTTGAATGTGTATTAATATGCCTGGGAACAATGTCTACAATTCCATATTTGGAGGAATGCAACATTCATTTGCTAATTTGAGGACATGGTAGGACTGTGACAAATTGGGAGCCAGTAAGCTCGTTGCAACACAGTTCCAATAGCTTGCTAACAATATTTAACTAGATTTCAGCATACTAATTATTAAGCTTTTGTTTCTAATCATGGACAATTTTGACAAAATAAATATTTCATTACTCAGTTAAGTACTCAGAATTGTTAGTTATTTTTGTGATCATGCAACAAGAAACACCTCCACAAATCATTGAGTGAAACTGTGAATGTCTCATTTGGGCTGAAGGTTCTGCTTGCATCTTTTTACATAAAAACTAAGTGATAAAATACTTGATGGTCATCTCCCTTGAAGGCCTGATCTAAATTCAATTAAAATAACTACAAAATTGTCCACTGACTTCAATTACCATAAGAGCCTATTTTTTCAGCTTTTCCTCACA